TCGCTCCAAATAAGAAAAAAAAAGAACTCAGTAAATCAAAAACACCAAGGACAACGTGGGGCTCGTACCCTGGTCCCCTGCGTGCAGCCCGGTTATCTACCACTCAGCCATGCCGGCGCTTGAGACTTGTTTGGAAATTGACAGGTTTGATGTCACGAGAAAGGAATCACGTTAATATGAGTAATAAAGCGTTTCAGAACAGCAAAGGAACAACCAGGTGAAACACAATGCGAAAAGCGTAACGAGTGAGCCGTTCAATGCTCCAACTCATTACAAAAGCGTGTTCTTGTTCCACTATTAACTTTGGCGCATACGCACTACAGCCGTGATTCCTCATCGTCGTCAGCCGCCACTGCATGAACGATTCCCACAAAATTCCTTGCAAGTGTTTAGCGGATACCACGCTTCTCAGAAGAATGACGAAAGATAACATATTGAATACCAGCCTACTACCCTGAAATTGTGATTATTAATGGAGTAGTGGGTACCCGGCCAGCAAATGCGCTTGTACCAGTTGCCCAATGAGTGTTTAGAAACGACTCCGAAAAGCGCCTCTTCCATTTTTCACTGCTACATGTGCTGCGCCTTCCACGCAGGCCTGGCACTTTTTTTTTTCATTTTATGTGCATCTTCCTTGATTTTTTTGGTCACGCACAAGGTGATAATTTTTCGCTCACAACCAACGACGCCGACGCCGCGGAGTTTTTTGCGAAACGAGCTTTTTAACTCAATCGCGTTAAAATGGCATCTTGCCAATGGTAAAATAACGGGTTCTTAGATTCACTTTCAAGGCATATCTTTCACTGCAGCAATTTTTTAAACCCTCCTTGAATTGCATAAGACGACTAAAAGGCGAAATAAATTCAACATTTCTATATATATATATATATATATATATATATATATATACATACATTTACCGCTCGTCCATTGGTTTAAGCGACTGCAGTTAGTCCAACTTCGCCGAATTTTGGCTTATAGTGTACAGAGGGCGGCATTTGAGGTATATAAGTGGATATAGAACTCTCCTTCGCAGGAACCGCAAAATATGACTGCCTGCAGACCACCGGTGCTCAAGTCGACAACCACGGACATTCCATTTGCACTTCTACGAGTGGAAGTTTATCCGGCCATTTTTGCAAGAATATACTCATAAAGCAGGCTTTGTAAACGTGGTTTTAAAAAAGGGAGCCCCATTATCGCACTGATATCCGTTCGTGTTGCTCACCGGATAAGAAGACCACTTTTAGCAAATAATATATTCAGGTTTGGCAAGCATATATGTGGTCTCACTAAAAGCCTATATAGTGAGCTTTGCAAGTACAGATTACGTAAGTGGTATATAATTTTGGTGTTATCAATGTCATTTACACGAACACTGCATGTATACGCGCCGTATGTGTGAAAATTCTGAACCTTGCATTGTTTTCAGCCTGATTTGCATCTTGCCATCGTATATGACTTCACCGAGAATATGGGATTTGGCACCGCCAATGGCAAGCCATTATATACGACGTGTGCCCCAGTTCTACAGAGCTAGTATCAGAGAATGTGGCCTTCCCTTTTCATTGAGAGCGAAAGAAACGCTAACTCTATGATTCCGAGCTGATAATCTGCGAAACCATTTTGTTCGTGAACACGTCATTTGTAAAAAAAGAACGCCTACTAATACTGGTAACACGTGAGAGAATTATGAAGACACTGGTGGATCATCTCTCAACGGGAAATTTCCTGTGAGGAAAATACGCAACAAGACAAAGAGAGAGACAAAACTGATTCAAATGACTAATATATTACTTGATTCACCTATGTGCACATTTAAGGGCTCGTTTCCTTTGTTAGACAAATATTATTAGATATAAAAGACAATCATGCCAAAGAAAGTGTATGGGATGTTATTAGATGTAATTGTAACATAAATGTGAAAAAGAAAAGCGAATGGAAAAAATGTAGGTTCGGTAACTTGGTAACTTGCCCTGTGCAAGATAACTTACACAGGGCAGGTTATCTTTTAATCCACTTTTCTGTCTTCACATTTACGTTACAATTACATCTAAAACATCCCCTGTACTTTCCTTGGCATGATTGGTGTGTTAGATTTAGTTATTCTTCCTTCACTTACGCCCACTAAACCTCAAAATAAAAAAGAAGAAAAGGTGAGGGGCAGTGTATATGTATCTTGTTCAATTTACGCATGCAGCGTACAACGACTTTCACTTCAGTATATTTTTTTGCAATATGCATAATGCCAATGATTTTGTTGTTGCTGCTAATTCTTTTCTACGTGACTTAAGTTTATGATATAATTTTCTTAATTTCACAAAGAGTACAAACGATGCATTTTACTTTTCACAGAGTATACACGATATATATTTACTCTTTCTAATATGATGGAGAACACTCCGTCTATTGGCTGCAATGAAAATGGTTAGACCATATTCGCTTGTATATTTCTAAAATGGCATCAAGAAACTAGCGGTTGATGTTTTTTTAAATGCGAAGCAGCTCTTTGACTAGCCCGAGTAACGCTGGCCGTCCGTGTCTCCGCAGTGCACTCCCCTCGCCGCGGGTGTTGGGGCAGTGCCAAGTATAGTTTACGCCTTCCCTCGCAGTGCGCGGTGACGTCATTCTCTCCTTCACCTGTTGCGCGCTCGCCGGTGTTTCCTCTCACTCACTTCACCCTCTCCAGTGCTTGCAACGTTCGAGTGCACATCGAGTGAACACTCTTTCGGCTCATTTATCTGCGATGGAGAGGACGCCGGAAAGCGAAGTTCCTTCACCCGCTGAAGCATGCGCTGAAGCGATTTGACTTAACCCGGCCGCCGCCGGCGTTACGAGGGTTAGCAGAGCTGATCGCGTTCACGAATGGTGACGTCGCGCCTGTTGAACACCGATGAGGCGTGAGCCAGGCATGCCGAGCGTCGGCAGTGGAAGACTAACGACACCGACGAGGTGAGAGTCAAGCACGCCGATGGCGTTCGAGAATGGAGATGGCACGCGGGTAACACCGACGAGACGTGAACCAAGGAAGCCGAGCGCAAGCGCCTTCAACGCGTCGGCAACACCGACGAGACGCAAGCCAAGAAAGCCGAGTGGAAGCGCCGACAGCGGAAGGTGAACGCCAGCAAACCTTCGACGTCGTCGTCATCGACAACATCTCGAAATCGCCGCGCGCCCTTTACCAAATCACCCTCCGAATCAACGTGCGCAACGCTGCTGCTTCGCATCCCATCAGGGTTCCCTTAGGGAAGATGTCGTTATTTTTTTATTATTGATATGATATATAAGGATATGTTGGCGCACAAATCAGGTGCTGGCTACTCCTTAGCCCTTGCGTAAATATTGAACGTACGTCTTGTGGGGAAAATAAAGAGCAGTACATAAAAAAAATAAACCACAAGAGCACACAATGAAAAACAAACTCACACGCATATATCAAACAATACCATCACAAGGTATAAGGAAATGCCCAAAAGTCAATGAATAATGTCTCTGATGCAGTTGATGTTCACATTTTTTTTTAGATTCTGGTCTATATACGTATGATCAAATTTTTTTGTGCCAGTTTATTGGATAATTAACTATACGCCTAGAGCGAAATATTCCATTTGTATACATATATGGTAATTATGCATATGTATAAACAACGGCGGCATGTATGGATATGTTTATCTTTGACGAGAGTATCGATAGTAGATATGCTTATTAAGCGTGCACCTGATCACCGAAATGGGGGGAGGGGGAGGTCCTTTGTTCATGTTGAGTGTACCTCTTCGTTCTTCACCTCCAGGGACATATATTTACTTGTAAAGAAACTATACAAAAATCTCCTGAGCTGGAGTTAGCCCTTCATATGAAAACTGCATGTAATTAATGCAGTATTTATACAGTTCTGGTTTGCAAAAACACATTTATCACATAACAGTATTGCGGCCTAAATATGTGTTCTTTCACCACCACCCCCTATTTACAGTATCCTTTCAATAGCAGCATGAGAGTTTGGCCTATGTATGAATTGAAATCTCTATTTTCATCTGTATAGAAAATGCAGACTGAGAGGTCTATGAAGAAAAAGAAAGCATAGACAGTTTGGCGATATCACAGCCCTAATCGCATTTATAATAATAATATCAGGGGTTTCACTCGCCAAAATCACGATGTCGTTATGAAGCACGCCTTAGTGGAGTGCACCGGAAATTTCGACCATCTGTTGTTCTTTAATGCGTGCGCTGAAATCGCATATATGCATGAAGAAGCGTGCATATGTGCTTAGTTTAGAAGCAGGCAAGCTCATTGTACTCGATAGTTATAGCACGAGAACAGAACGACGACACAGAGACAAGAAGTACACGAGCGCTCGCGTCCTTCTTGTCTCTGTGTCGTCGTTCTGTTCTCGCGCTATAACTATCGTCATGTCATACCAACTAGCCCAAGCTGCCACACGTCCTTGTACTCATTGTATACATGGGCTTTCGTGAACGCGGTTTATGTTGCCTTGTTGCTAGCTGCCCCAAACATTCAGTTAATCACCTTATGGTAACACAAGCAAGGGAGGAAACTCCAAATAAAACGGCATCCAGGCATACGCAGTTGTGTATGCAAAGAGTATTTAGACTCCGCTTAGTTAAACCACCGCCCATCATCACGCGTTTCAAACGTTGCCCTTCCTCGCTATACCGGTTGCAACGTGAGCCGGCCGACGTCGGCGGGATTTCATTAGGCGTGCTCGAGTCTCCCGCCGATGGGGCGAAGAAGAGCCGCGGCCGTCACGGTGCGTATTGAGAGGAGGCCCGCGCGAGAGGGCACTCCATAAGCGCGCGCGGGGCATATTGGCGGCGCGCGATTGGCGTCGCGGGCGCCGCCAATGGGGCGGCGAGCCCCGCCTCCGGCCACCGCGCCTGCCCACGGCGGTCGACGGCACTCGTCGGCCACCAAACACACGACGCCCATGGTAGCAGCAGCGCGGCGCGGTCCCTCGCGTTGCTGAGAGCGCGCGTGCCATGCTGGAGTTGGGCGCCGGCACGAATCCGCCCGCGAGCAGCGCCTCGTCCATGCTGTCCATGCTCAACATGGAGTCGTCCCGGTCCAACGCTTTCCTGCTGGGCAGCCCGCCGCTGGCCGCGCTCCACTCGATGACCGACATCCGCGCCAGCCAGGCGTCGTACTCAGCCGGCTCGTCGGCACTCAAGGCGCAGAGTTCGCTTTCGTGCGCCTACTCGAGCGCCTCGGGTACTCCGCACGGCATCAACGACATCCTGGGGCGGCCGCAGGCAGCAGCCGCGGCCGCGGCGGCTGCCGGGCTCGGCGCCATCGGGCTGCCCCGCTTCGGCCTCGGCGCGGCCGGCGTCTACTTCAACCCGGCCAACGGCGCGTTGCACAAGATGGGCCTGACAGAGTTGCCCGGCCGGCCGCACCTCTACTGGCCCGGCGTGGTCCAGAACCCAGCGCTCTGGAGGGACCGCCTTGCATCCGCCTCAGGTGAGCTCTTGTACCTACTTTCGCGTGCACGTCCCTAAAACATCCTCCCGGAGAAAGGCATCTTTCCCGTTTCGCTTGCCCTCGACTGTTTGTCATGGGTCAAAATCGCAGTGTTATGACGCTGCCAAGTTTCAATCGCTCTCCGAAGGCACGTGCGCAATATATACGTCATGCAGTGCATGTACTCAGTCAGCACGAGCCTCAGGTCTATATAACTACACTGTCATGTGTACCTATATTTGAACGATGTCACCGAACATTTTTGTCTAAAGCGCCCCTGGCTCGAGCGATGCTTTCCCTCGTAACACATGGCACGCCAAGTACCGACGCCCGCCGTTGCATGGGGGCGTGGGTGGCTGGCAGCCCCAAATATCTCATTCAAGAGCGCTTGCCTTGCATGTTTTAGCGGCGCGTATACAACTTGCACGATACGATGCCGTAATTTCAATTACGTAACGATGGTAGCTTTGACACGTCGCTCTATAGTGGTGTGGCAAAGTTGCTAATGATCCCTCGTTACCGGTCAATACTTAGTCTGCTGATCGCGCTCACCGGGTTGGAGAACACTGGGTAATCACATATCACCTCAAATAAGTCGGTATGGCTGTCATTCATTCTATGACATGAAATAAATGTCGATTAAGCGTGAAAATGCAATAGGTAATTGCGGTGAGGATTGCTGTCATCACTACATGAAACCTGTTTTTAGTGACAGTCCTGGCAAGGTTAACAATTCCACGATAGAAATGATTGATAGATAGTGTACGAGGATTGCTGGAGGAAAAGTATTCTGAGAAAGGACAAACAAACAATGAAAAAACCAAGGCTATATGTAAAGGGCAGAGACTTGGATAACGAAATCAGTTTTTTTTTTATTTAGTGCATGCATTCATATTGCATTGGATTTAATTTTTTTTAAAGAGTAAGAAAAATATATTTCACCTGGCTGCGCACAGGCCACTTCCCCTTTATGAAGAGGACTCGTGCAGCATCCGTCCATGAATGTGTACATCGTTGAGTGCAAGTCACGTGACCTCCTATAAAACAAATATAAGTTTGAGGTTTGATTAATCTGGTAAATGATTATCAGTATGTAACTTTCTAACAAGACATTCCTTCGTATTTAGCTTAGATGACCTATTCAGAATCCCCCCTATACATTCGCAATGTGAAAGATTTCGCTTTTCAATGCGCGGTCACATTTTCAAGGTAAAAGAGGGAACTCCCGACAGGCTTTTACCTCATTCTCTTTCCCAGTGGCATCAAAAGCATCGTTTTTCTTCACGCTTACAACCTTGTTACGTGAATTCAAGGCCTATTTCATATATTTAAAAAGCAATTCATATAATATCATAATGTAAGCCCTCATTCGTTATGAACAGTAATGTGATGGTGCCATTTATGTCTTGTTACGTATACTTATGTCTGTTACGTATACTTGTTACGTATACATCACCTAAGTGATTACTTAGGTGATGAGTTTCAGTTGAAGAGCATGCAGACAACAATCTATCGAATACTTCCAATCAATCAGACGAGCATTCGTCCAAGTTTGAAAGAACGGCCCTGCTTGCGGCTGGCAATGTTGTCGAGTTGGCTGTCGATGTTGTACTACGCTGTCAATTGTTGTCGAGATCGGTGTTTTAATACGACTGCACTACGAAAAAAAATGGTAATAATGACCACATGAACAACATTCTGAACTGCTGATTACGATGTTGTTATGACGAACCTCATATTCTTGAAGGTCACCATGACTGCATAAAAATTACTTCACCAGTTATACGCAGGCTCCGGTAAATGCATCATTGTTTCCATCCATGCAGACCTGCTTGTTACATGCACAAATATTGTCGAAACAGAGACAAGTCTCGATTTCACGCATGGATGTCCTGACAACTCCGAAAGGATACTTGAAGTTTTCTCAGAAGTTTCTCAAAACGTTGGCAACTACTTTTTCTATAGCCGGCTTGCCTATATATCAACGATATAACACCTCACCCAGTGCGCAACAATTCAGCATGTCACGACAACCTTCTGCATGCGAACAAACACAGGAGTCATACCGCGGGAAAAATGAGTGTTCACTGTCGAGTATATATAACTATAGCTTTGCTTTACCAGTGATAGAATGCGCAAAATTGGCCGAGGTAATGCATTTTTTTAACAGTCACAGTAAGTTGCAAGCTTCACCAGCTACCCCGTTGCCTGGTAATTCTCGTGTATCGATTTGTTATCTGGTTTTTTATTAGCAATCAATTAATTGATTGATATGTGGGGTTTAACGTCCCAAAACTATGATTACGAGAGACGCCGTAGTGGAGGGCTCCCGAAGTTTCGACCACCTGGGGTACTTTAACGTGCACCCAAATCTGAGCACACGGGCCTACAACATTTCCGCCTCCATCGGAAATGCAGCCGCCGCAGCCGGGATTTGAACCCGCGACATGCGGGTCAGCAGCCGAGTACCTTAGCCACTAGACCACTGCGGTGGGGCTTTTCTATTAGCAAAATAAAATCACCTGTAGACTGTTCTTGCATGCCAATATCCCACGCTTTATACATGATACGAAAACAGATGAGTTGTCTTTCTCTAAAGTCTTGAGACCTTCCATGCTGTTTCATGTCGAGAGACAAGCTGCAGGTGCGAGTTCTATATGCTAATCTTTGCCGTGTTTTGAAATGAGAGTCTCAAGAAATGGAATGACAACCACATTTACAATGCGCATGTGCTCTTGGACATGTAGGTCGTTTTTATACCAGGCAGTCATTTGTGTTTCGGTCTTACAACAGGAGTTCCGCTGGCAAAGAATTTGTTTTTAGCGCTTCCGACAAAACAAATTCGTTGTCGGGCTCAAGAGATGTGCTTATGAGTCAAAAAAATTATATATGTGCGCCTGAAGTACTGGTAAAGCCAGCGCGATGTTTTTTAAATGCGAAGCATTTCTTTGCGTACTGTATAGGCACTTTGAGCGTCTAGCTGCCTATCTATCTAGCCGTTGACGCATGCTATCACGTCCATGCACCCCCTTAACTAGGGATAAACCAAAATTAGTACGGTTGAGTATATAGAATGGTTTGACGAATACGACTCACTGGTCATGACATGAATAATGTCACAACCCCGTCACGTACGTCGTCAAACACTTTCCAAAAAACAGTGACACACACCCGGGGGTGAGTATGTGCCGCTGTTGTGCGGGTATTTGCCACAGGTGTTCGACAGTTTATATCTACGCAGGAATGACGAAGGCACACCTGGGTATTTTTAACGCTTGATCGTTAAGATAAAGCGGACATCGGCAGCGTTGTTCGGAAGGTGGCAAAGAATAAATGTCATTCCTGGCATTCTGCGTGGCAATCAAGTATTCTACCACAGAGCCCCGCCAGGTCTCGGAACTACCTTTCAATTATAGGTCCTATAATGCTCGTGAAACGCCAATTGTGGTTGCAGTGCTGGCTTTCCAATTTTATAAACATTACGTATGTACTATTCTACGATACAGCCGTCACGTCGGGTTAACATCAATTGTAGTTAGGTGTCATCCGCTCAAGTTTACTTATGGGGCCTTCAGTGTCCAGGACTACAATCCTCACTATAGCAGCAGCGCTTTATATAAGCTTAACGCTTCTGGTGTTTCTAATATCCATGTTGCTGTTGGGATCGTTACGTGACTGTAAACACCCGGTGATATAAAACATATGCGGCTTTTTAACGTATGCCTGTGCGTGCATTTGTACATACATCTGTAGCGCAACTTCGTAACGTTTCGCTCAGTAAAAAATTACAACACAGTGACCTTGCATGCGTCTACGCTTCGCATAGCGTCGATTCCTATCGGTACCTCTGATCTGCCGAGTTTTTTGTTGTCGGGTATAGTGTTCATAGACGAACCATTCACAAAATAACAGACGTGCATGTGTGTGTTTCAAAAGAGAGATCATGAAAAAGAAGAGACCGTTCATCGGCCCTTGCGCACGTCAGTGTTTGGAGGGGGGGGGGGGGGTTAATGAACTCTGCACGCATATGAATTAGCGCTTGCCATGTCGTCCTTGCATGCCATTTTCGTTGCGTAGTCCCCAATCAATGATAAACAATTTTGGTTCGACGTCCGCGGGCAGACAGCCGTTTCAAATGGCGGCCTGCATATACTCAAGCTCCTGCAAACACACTGCTAAACCTGTCTATTACATGCGCGATCTCTTTGTTCTGTCACGCTTTCCGCCCAGCGCTCCAAACGTTTCTCAAGAGGCTGTCCGTGTGTATAGCTATTCAAGAATCTTCCTTTTCATATATATGTTTGAGTCCTGTTAATGTAGCATTATATGTACTAAGGCAATCCTGTATACGGGATAGTTGGTATTTTTTAATAGTTGTAGACAAAAGAGGATGTATGCAAAATGTATAGTGGGCTATCTGAATACACACAGCTCAAATGCTTAACCTTGTCTCTTTCCCCAAGTACACGTGCTATAACATTAATTTCGAAGCTTATAGTACGCTATGTTTGGCAAAACAACAAGAATGCTTTATATCACCTTTTTCAAGCAAGACCAATGCGCCAACTCGTTAAATTAGGAATTAAATAGGCTTTGCCAGCGTGAAAGCATATTTTAAGCATATTACTTTTTATAGCTTCCAATATATACCCATTCTTGCCAACTCTCAACATTCATGATACAAAACTTTCAGAGTTATATCTGTCACTAAAAACAAAAACCGCTTTCGCCGTTGTGAAGTTGTGTTGTTTATTCAAGTTATCACTCCCCTCTGCAGTGTCGTTAAAGGGGGACGAACCAGATGGGCACTCAAGCGATAAAAAGAGAATTTTCATCTTGTGCGTGAACTTATCGTAATCTTACCGTCAGTGCCACCAACTACATGATGTTATGATTGTTTTTTTTTTATTTAGAAGCCATTTTTGAAATAATTTAGTAAACCAGAATGCACTGGAGAATTATTCTCTACACTGCACAGCGAAATTTTGTAGGACTGAAGA